GACTTCCCCTTTAAGGACCACCACAGATTTGCAATTTGCTGCAGTGTCTCATGAACATGTGCGGATTGTATAGAACAGCTCAACACTTTCAATCTCAGGTATGTTGAGATGAAAACTTTATTACTGTGTACCTCTGATGGTATCGATGGGGAAACGGAGAAATGTTGTCGAGTTATCTGGTGTTCCCATCTTTGCGAGTCTCGTCTTCTGTTCGCCAAAACAGCATCCCAGCAATCCCCCCCCCTCGATTAATAGTCAAACAAGGCGCCGTGTTAGCGACGGATGTGACATCGCATCGTTGCGTGGGCCTTCCCTTGCACTCACCATTTGCTATTGAGCGATATGAGTTTTGATTGTTATTGGAAAATCCAGCTGCTTTGCATTCCGCAACGGACCAGAATCCAGTGCGAGCAGTTTCAACGTCTTTCAACGACGCTACGTCTCGGCTCTACTTCCTGCAGGCTAAGAAGGAGTAAGTATGTCTGCGCGCTTCGCTGCCGTGGCGTCTCGGGCCGACCGAAAGGTCCCGCGAGCTATTATAAGCGTGCTAAAATTCAAAACAACCAGTGCAACCAAAATGTGTTTTTTAAATATATAAACATCGCATTCTTTTCTCTGCTGATTCCTAGGTTTCACTCGCGCACGCACACACACACACACACACACACACACACACACACACACACACACACACAGAATCGATTTGGCGCCAGCCTACTCTCCCCAACTCCGAACATTTTTCACATTTTCTTCCCGGACGAGCTAACATTTGCTTATTTACACAACCTGATCTGCTGAAAACTTTCCAGCTTATTTTCATGATTTTTGACATTGAATATTTGAAGAAGGTGTCCTCCTGCTAACCTTGTACTGGAAGATGGTTTATTGTGCATGCGAGACAAGGCCGCGTTGACATTTAAACGCTGAAATATTTAAGGTTATGCGCATAAGGTACACAGCTGTCTCTGGAAAAAAAAAACGTAAATTACCTTCACTGTCTCTAGAAGGTAGTTTGAACACCCCTTCTATCAGAAATGCAATGATTTATAAGTCGAGTTTCCAACAACATCCCGGAACCCTTCACATCTCTATATGCACTCTGGATTGATGACACAAGAAGTCTGGCAGCAATATTTGGGAGGCACCAATGCAATCCACTTCCAGCAGGGTACGTGCGTGTGTGCCGCCTAAAAGCTGCTCAGCTATTTGGAGATACTTCAAAGGGAAACTATGTCGAACCGAGCTCAAATGAGAACCTCGCAGTGCTTTAAAAGCAGAAAAAGCAACAACGCTCCCAAGATGTTTCCCACATTATTTTCATAGTTTTCACACCATTTCTGGTCCACACTTCCCACATTCAATAGCTGACATATTTTTACATGCAAGGATGCGACAGGAGTCCAAAACGCACACACACACGCACGCATTCACAAACTCAGTCAAGCGGCAAAATGAGGCAAAAGGAATTCATCTGGTTGACATTCCTGAGCGTTTCCTTCCTTTATCTCCTCCTCCATTTTTTTTTTTTTTTTTTTTACATCAGGAGACGTTCTTACGGTTATGTTCTTAAGCTTTGTAGCCAAATGAGGACTCAGGAAGCGAGCAGGTGGGGCAGCTTCAACGGGAGTTTATTGTCAGAGCCAGGAATGAAAGGAAATGAGAATACTTGTTGGGCAGGAAAGGAGAAGAGCAGGGCGACAATTACTTAGGGCGTTGTGTAAAATGTCAATCAGAACAGAATAAAATGATTTGCCAATACCTATGATGATAATTCCATCGAATACACTCCAGAGAAGACATTTCATCTTCAAAGTGATCAACCATATACTCCCCCCCCCCCACCCCGTAAGCATTCTTATCCATGGAGAAGAGACAGCCTCAAATGGGAGCTTTGTATGAAATGCAGAGTGGCACGATATAAGACTCATAAAATGATAAGATTAATATCAGCAAAAGAACTGAGACGTTGGGGTGGCGGGGCGGGGGCGGGGGGTGTCTCCATGTGGCTTGTCCATAATCAAATTCCAGTGCTCCTAATTCTTAGCTGGAAGGACAACTGTTTTATTTCTTGACTCAACTCGACTTGATTTATCAAGGGCTTCCACAACAGCTGCAGATGTAACAAAAGCACTTTACAGAGCACATGAGACTCAACTAATCACACAAAGAGAAACCAACAAAATCTTTTCCTCCAATCCCACAAGCGCTTTGTTGTTTGGAGGCCGTTAGAGATGAAAGAAAAGCGATTCGAAGTCTCATTCCACCGGCTCATTACAGATGCACGCATGACGCCCCCCTCGCGTCTGCTACAGCGAGCATCTGTTGGTCAGTAACACACACGTACAAGAAAGAATGGTTCCACTTTCCCACTCCAATTAGAGCCTGTATTCTTTACTTTTCAAACGCCGACTCCTCTTCGTATCTTCTTCGGGCCTCATGTTGGTGACGCTCCTCGCCATCAGCTCCTCCAGCTATCCCGTCTGCAGTCCGACCGCACCGACATTGCCGCTGAGCCACATGGAGCCGTTGCAAAAATGCTGCCCGTTTAGGCTGCATGCGGACTAACAAAGATGGTCCACGATTTTGGTGACTTTAAGCAGGTTCGTCCCGGTGGCGGCTCGATGACTTCCCCCTGTGACCTGCCTGTAGCGTAACAAGAGACGGCAAATCCAGGGTCCAGAAAGATCAAAACGCAGTCTGGCTGGGTTTCTACAATCTCGACCTGGATTTGCCATCTCTGCCTGTCACCTATGTGACATCATCGCAATTTGAATGTTGTGATTTGCATACCCACGGGAGGAAATCAATCCACGGCAGTGATCCATATGCTCAGCTTCACAGTCATTCAAGCATTTAAACGAACCTGAATGATTACATGAACCCACCGCAGGTCTGGCTGCAGACAGTCAGGTGGACAATTTTCAAGAAAAAAAAAAGTGTTCAAGGAGATCACAAGGCAGTTCTAGGTCGTCCGTCAGTCAAGTGGACCGTCAGAGGACTTATACGGGTGTAGTGGTAGCTTTTCTGCCGTCTGTTAGCACATGAAAAAGGAGCGGGAAGAAAGGATGGGAAATCACTGAGTGTGTTGGTGCCACGCTTTGCCACTAGGGAGTGTCGGGGACTGTGGAGAGGCAGCGTTAGCTTCAGTCAGAATGAAATATGATGAAAGCTTAGGATGCCTCAAATGTCAGCATTTGTCATACTGCAACTGAAACACAAATGTTCAGCAAAATAGAGGAAATCATAAATTGCAGCTGAAGCAGACTCACACTCAGCCATGGTTCCCTTTCTAGAATGGATGTCTGCCTGCGAGTCGGCTCTCCGCTTTACATTGCAAATACCCTCGTGTTTACATTTGCTCCGCACAGACAATCGTTACTAAGGGTTACTTGGACTCACAACACGGGTAACCAATCAAAATTCACTTGGGAGGCAGTTCAAGGGAGGGAAAAAAAAGCGAGGGAGCAACATCTGACAAGGACCGAAAGAGCAACACTAACTCCACTGATCTCTAATCAAGAGTCACTTTTCTTGGGACATTTCACAATAGAAAATTGATCTCTGGTATTGAAGCAGATGACACTTTCATGTTTGCCAGATGACAACGACTTCCTTTTCTCTTTTAGATCCTCCGGCCGGCTGCGGTCCTGCTGCATGGATACCAATTGACAACACAAGGTAACCCGCCTCTGCTTAGGATTTCATAAGCGGTAATAAAAGTCATAACTTGACGACTGTGATGGATTTGCAAAAGACCAAAGAGTCTTGTAGCGTCACCCACCGTATTTTGGATGTCACGCGGTGCGAATAAAAGAAAAGTCAAAGCGTCGACATTTTAAACCTGATACTTATCAAAAGATGAGCCGGCACACATAAACGCTCGCTGTCGGAACGTCGGCTAACGTCTTAAAGCGGTTATTGTGCCGTGATCGCGGCCACCACTCCGATAGCCAATCTCCCCTTGCGCCATATTTCAATGTTCATTTAACAAGGCCCTGTTACAGTGAACAACTGGACGACCTTATCAGCTGCCCCCCCCCCCCCCCCCCCACACACACACACACACACACACACACACACTCACCGTCCTGTTATCACCGTGGCCTAGTTCACACACATCGAGCACACATAACCTCTCTACCGTCCAACAAACCCGCAGTTCTTCTATTTCGCTCTCCGAAACCCTCGCACAGGCAAAATGAGGAATGAAACGTTTCGGGGGGCCTTATCGGTGTCCTTGGGGGGGCCTGGCAGCCACTTCACAGACTCCGAGCCCTGTGCAAAGGCCGCAGGGACAAACCTACAGTGTGTGACAAGAGTACCGATGAACAGGCTGCACGGGCCAGCTAATGATGAATATCCAGCTTGTACAATGGCGATTGAAAGCAGCTGCCGCTCAAAGGAAGAACAATGGGAGAATTAGCGATTTGGAAAGAAAAGAAAGGAGGAAAAAAAAAGCATATTCCTGTTTTTTTCAGCAAAAAAAAAAAAAAAAAACATCGACGCCGCACCGATGATGTTTAGCAAAGCGTCCATTGTCACTAAGATAAGCGTGGCAGCTTGCCACGTTGCCAAGCCAGAGCCTAAAATTCAGGTTAGAAGGAGGAAAATAAACTGTTCATTCGCTTACTTTCTGGCCAACCTGCAGTAACGAAAGAAAAGATGGCGTGTGTGCACACGCGTGTGTGTGTGTGAGGCAAGAAAAGTTCCTCAAAGTATGACCAAATGTCATTTCGTTTGAAGGTATGAACGGAGAAGAAACAAAAAGTTCATTTTCCCTTGAAAGCATTGAAGGCAAACATGCAAACATCAGAGGAAGTTGAAAATGAGAGGGCCATTTCTGGGGTAAGATGATGGCAGCGGTTTGGCAGCAGAACTCAGGAAGTGGTGCCTCCTAACTGAGCTGTGTTTCCTGTGTGATAACTGACCCAAACATATGCTGGCTCCGTCGCAACCGCTAAGTCGCCCGTTCGTGTTCTCCCTTTGGAGGCTCGGGTGCGAAAACATCAATAACTGCGAAGCTGCTAAGGTTGGAGGATTAACGGGATTAAAATATGACTCGAATTAATTCCTTCAAGCTATTTTCCTCGGGTTGAAAAGCCGCGGCGTCGTACGGAAAACCTGATTACCGCTGTGATCTTCCACAGAAAAGAGCGAAAGGTAAGGTGCAGGTGCGCCGCCGTGTTGATGAATTCTCTTTTCAGCGGGGAAATAAGACGCATCTGTACAACAGCGGGGGGGGGGGGGACTTAAATCCCCAACGCGTTTAACGTTAGACTCAGAATGAGTCCAACGTGGTTAGATGGAGCGGCAAGAATGACGAGAGGACTCCGCGTGGCATCAAAGCGGAAGGGAGGAATAATTCAATGATTAAAAAAAAGCAAAGGAACAAAAACAACTGCTTTGATTCCAAATGTCCCCAACATGTCTTCAGGAATGCGAAGGCGATGGCTGCGAGACCTTGAAAGTTGCGCAAAGACAGATTGTTTCGTGTTCAACGGCAGCTGCTTCCCCACCCCACTTTTGCACACGCATGCATCGCACACATTGCAGTACAAACGCTTCCTTCCTGTTGGCGGTTTGGCCTCATTTTTAGAAGATGCGAGTGAGACGCGCGATAACCAGAAGCAGACCGCAGTGTTTTTAACTCGTCTTTCAGACCACCGAGTTTTTATCAAGTATGGAATTGATGTCTAAATCTTGCCTCTAATATTATGTATGTTACTAATTTCAGTTTGTTTGGTTCCCCCCCCCCCCTCTCGCCCGACAGGTTCCAGTCCAACCATTGGACGTTTTTCACCGCAGCCACTTCCCCATTGAAAGTCAAAGCGCGAGAGGCAAACGTTACTTCCTGTGACAAATTTGTCTTGATGCTCATCTCGTACACTCGCATTCGCCGTTGAGATGCCAGCATCATCATATCCTGAGATGCTCGCTCCTCAGATCATCTAAAGGTCAGCCCGCAAAGAGCTTCTGCCTAGAGACAAGAAAACGTTTCAGTTTTCAGAAGATTCCGGTGATGTTTACGCCATCTCGTTAGATCTGCACCGGTGTTTTGGCATTTCCAGCCATGCTACAGCAATCAGAGCTCATTTTTGACTTCGCCAGTGACCATGTCACCCTGTCAGGGGTAAGTAAAGCGCGATGTCATTTGGAAGTGCATTTCATGCTTGCTGGCTAACATAAATAAATAAATAAATAAATAAGGAATGTTCTGTATTGGAAGGTCTGCATAAGCAAGTAATATTCAGTGCAATAACTGTATCAAAAGATTGTCTTATACTTGGTTCCTAATACAATAATGTTCAGTTCTCATTATGAGTGTGAGAGGTGTGCAAATGTATTCAAATGTTTATGTTCTTCCCGTGCCTGTGTGGGTTTTCTCCGGGTACTCCACGGTTTCTCCCCACATTCCAAAAACATGCATGGGAGGCTGATTGAACACTCCAAAAATGTCCTGAGGTATGAGCACGGATGTTAACCGGTTCAGGGTGTCCCATGCATATTTTTGGAATGCGGGATGAAACCGAAGTACCCGGAGAAAACCCACACAGGCTCGGGGAGAACATGCAGACTCCACACAGGGAGGCCGGAACTGGAATTGAACCCGGTACCTCTGCACTGTGAGGTCGATGCACTAACCACTGCACCAATGGGCCACCCAGATGCAATTATCATTTTACAAAAAAACGAAAGGACTCGGGAGTGTGCCGTGTGTGCGATGCCGTCGATAATGTCATGTTACAGTTATCATTTTTGTCATTTGAGCAGTTGGGGGTTCATTCGGATTTCCCAGGTGTGCTCGTGGAGCAGATTCCACATCCGCACCTGTTGGCATATTCAGGATTTTTGTGTGAGGAGACACACGAATACGACCAACAGTTGCCGAAAGGTGAGTGCACAGCCTACGGGGCACACACAATCACCTGACTTAAATCTAATTGCGTAGCAAATATTTGACTCATAATCTACGATCCGCGGCCTTCAGAATTTGACATCGATTGGCCTTTTCCGTTTGGCAGGTTGAAAAAGGAAGATGCCGCATGTGCGCACGCGCACTGTGTTCCTCGCTCAGGGACCACCCTCCGTAAAATATTCAGGAAGTTGAACAAAACATTTCTATTAAGAGTCTGCAAAATGCAGCACATACATCGCATTAGAATGTAGACTCGGACTAATCCAGCTAAAGCATGCTGTAGCTCACTCATCATCAGTGCTGGTCGTTGAAAGTAAGTCATGTCGTGTTTTCGGGTCGCTTTACTTTGATCTTCAAGTTGCCCGCTGCAGCTGTAGTGGTGCTTGGCTTGGTTTGGCTAAGCTAAGTTGACGTTGCTAGCAGAACTACAGTCAAGACATTTTTCTGGGAGGTTATTTCAACAACCACGAGAATGGTTTGCTTGCTTCACACACTTTTATCTCGTTCGTCAAGTTGTCTGTGGATTTTTGAAAGCGGCGGACAAAAGTCCACGTTTGACAGCGTTGTTAGCCAGCAGATGTTTTCCGTCCCTGGTCACAAAGACATGCGTCGATTTCACTTGACTTTTAACACGCACCCCGATGTATGACATATCGAGTCAGTTACGTTTATTCCCCCTATCAACTTGTTAACATGTGTTATAAAGTGTTTATTTTTGTAATTTGCAGTGCTGTGAAAAGTGCACGACTGATATTCTCGACAACTACGTTTTGCCAGGCTATGGGATAACCGGAAAATGATAAACGCAGCTCAGCTCCCCACACTGCAATATTATCCATATAGTTGTTTCTGAAAGTTGCAATCAATGCCCATTAAGATGATACATACACATCCAATGAGATTGGGCAGCCGTGCCCGGCGTTTTGGGCAGTTAGTACACCTGTTGACTCTAATGTTCAGTATTTGTGAGATTGATGGTGGTCCTTGGAGGAGGATGAGATGATAAATTGTCACTGGTTACAGTAACTGGACGTCAATGTCTCTTGGTTGTCCCTGATAATTAAAAAAACACCTAAACAAGGTACTCCATCACATTGATGGCGCCGCCGTATAAAACGGCCCATAAAGCAGTCCTGCTCTTTGATTAACCGTTACTCACAATATATTGCCTGTCAGCACATTGAGAGAACTCAAGGCAATAGATGGCATGCGATCCACACTATGAAAAATCTGCATTTGATACCGCCCCTGATTCTTCGCACGCCACCCGAAAGTCATACTTTCAATGACAGACCGTGATGGGAGATGAATCAGCTGTTTCTAAACTAGACTCTTGTAATGTATTCTCTTGTAACAGTGCCAACACACAGCCCTCATAGCCAAAGCCGTGAATTTTTTTTTGCTTGTGTCCTAACCCTTCTAAATAAATAATTTCACTGCAGGAAAATGTCACGTTTTGGGCTCAGAGAAGTATGAACCTATATAGATTTTTTTTGGGGGGGTTGCAAAGTTGAGAACATGTTTGCTTCATTAGTGAAACCCACCCACACAGTCTGCCTGAGCCAAAGTAATTCTTTCTCTGAATGCCATCCTCTTCTACCATCTTCCTGTTATGTGCCATTCTTTCCTCTGTGGTCTAAAGTGGACCCATGTGAAAGTGGAGACGAAGAGACCATGGAAACGCTCGTTGCTGCAGACTCGCTTCTGGACTTGGACTGTCCAGATACTCTGTCACTGGAACACTACTGTAAGTGTACGCTGTCAATGCGAAGCTCCCATTAGAGGTCCAAACATAACATTTTACATACATGAATTCAACACTATTCTCCTTTTATCAAGGCCTTCATTTTGAGGGTGGAAATGTAAATTAGATAATTATGTTTGACCATTTTATTGCTGAACACAGAGCCGGATGTTATGCACTTCGGAGAACAAATTAACTGAACAGCGGCTCAGATAGGAGACACTTTCAGCCTCAGTGTCAATCATCTTTCTTTTCTATTCAGCGAGAAAACAATTCTTTTTTAACACCTACTGCTTGTGTAAAACCTATCATTTTCAAGGAATGGCAAATTGCTTTTTTTTTTTTTTTTTTTTTTTTTAAATAGTATCGCAGGTATCAACACAATTGAAAGTTGGTTGGATTTATGGGTAAACTCGCTGACGACCCCACTTCTCCCAGACTCATAAATTCAACGAAGCATGCGTGTCATTTCACGGAGCCTTCAAAGGTTATTCGGATCATTATCAAGAGTTAATCGCATGCACTTTGGCATTTTGAGTGAGAGTGATTCTCAAATGATCCGCTGATTATGCATACAGCCCACGTGCAGGTGATGTTATGTACTGTTTGAAGGTGTACATTTTCTGTAGCTGTATCAAAGCCTGTGTTCACTCATTCTGATCTATACCTTTTGATCAATCTGTAACCCGCAAAAGTCACGATACACGTACTTTTGTGAAATTTAGTTTCAGGTTTTCGTTCAGACCCCTGAAATAATGCCAGCAGCGTTGGATAATTTTGGCTTGGTGGTAGTAAGTGTGAGCATATCACTCCCTTGCTCATGGTTGACCAATTGACACTGGAGCAGTGTTGCGTATTTGCCGCCTGGCAAGACGTTGTTCTCTCCCCCAACCTGATTTCAGTGCTAGTTTGGTGAAGTCTTAGCCTGTATTAATGCTGAGTTCTGTTACATTTAAAGCAATGACAACAAAATTGTGAACAAAATCTTTCTGACGCAGATGATGATTCACTGATGTGGCAAAATCCCACAATATTCCACCAACTACTGCCGAGCATTTATTTGACGTCAGTTTTTTTTTTCCTTCAGTATCGGTGATCGCTGATATTGGCAGCCTCTATGAGTACCCAGTACTTTAAAACAAGGCTGATATTGAACCAATAGCTGGTATTGGTACTCGCCTATCCCTACATAACAAAAACTAAAACCAAAGCGGTCAATTATTGATGGCCTCACGTCTGTCCAAATGATACCTGAAAATGAAATCCAAAAGAGGAAGTGAATGTTGACCTTTTGGACCCCTTGTAAAAGCGGAAGTTGGGCTTCTCCGACTGCTGTGCCTCTCAATATAGGAAGGCGTTGGAATTATGATTGCGTTGACCTCTTCAATAAATCCGTTTATGACCTTCTTCAGCCCAGACCTTCCTGCCATCATTGGGCGATGTCATCAACGCCCCTGTGACTCAAGTGACGGTGTCTGCCGAGGGGATTTTGGGAGCTGTCGAAGAGCCAGAATGGCACACGTTGCACGCAAATGAGCCGGCGACCCAGCTGCAGTCCAAACAAAGAAGTCAGTCACTTTTGCTGGTCATCGATCGCCTGCTCATTTAAATGAATGATGTCTGTGTGATTATGTAAAATATCATGGAAATGACATTTATTTCTCCTTCACCTTACAGGTAGAAAACGGCATCGAAGGGCAGAGTCGCCTACTCCTGACATAAAAGTGAAGGGAGACAAATACAATAAAGGTAAATTACAACCTGAATATTTCAACGACTGAAGGTCAAAAAGTTTGGATATTGTCTATTGTCTTCTGTCATACAAACTCCCCAAATGATTCAAATAACGCTGATAAACTTTCGAAAAGGGAACTGGGAAAAAAATAATGATGATGGAATTTTTTGGGGGGGCCTTTGAATGAATTGACTCAGTTGTTTCTCATTGGAAAAAAAATTGAACAAATTGAATTGTCGTCAAGCTTTAAGCTTCTAAGACTGTTTACATGTTTTCATTTTAAGTACACACACCCGTACTCTGCTGGAATGATCTGATTTCCCCTTATCATATTGTCTGTTCATCTCATTCCAATTGGGCTTGTTTTGGCTTCCCAGGTGGGAACACGCTCTACTTGTGGCAGTTCCTCATGGAGTTGCTGCAGGATAGACAAATTTGCCCGCGCTACATTAAATGGACCAATCCCAGCGCCGGAATCTTCAAACTGGTCAACTCAAAGGCAGTGGCGAGACTTTGGGGCAAACACAAGAACAAGCCAGATATGAATTATGAGACCATGGGCAGAGCACTAAGGTACCATACCAAAAGCAAGACCGGGATTAAACTAAAACGTGTAGTGTGCCATGCTGATTGTGACCCTGTTGTGCTGATGTGCTGTAGGTATTACTACCAAAGAGGCATCCTGAATAAGGTTGAAGGCCAGCGCCTTGTCTATCAATTCACCACACTCCCTGAAGACATGATCTATATCACCGATGGCGAAGGCGTCAAAGAAGAAGAAGAAGAAGAAGAACACGATGAGAACAGTGCTAATGACGAAGGAGTGAGCGAGGATTCTGATGACGGCACGGTAACTTCAAGCGACCAATCGGTTGAGGAAGAATATGCCATCCCGCCAAAGAAGACTTCAGGTTGCTCTGCCCAGCGGAGCCGGCCCACTCGCGACACTGTCCTTCGACCTGCCAGCTCCAGTCTCATCCAGGAGCAGCATTTGCCCATTGTGTCTGCAGAGATGTTGCGCACCCTCCAGAACCTGCAGAAGGTCCAGTCCCTTCAGCCGGCGGGTCACGCCTCCGTTTTCAAAACGGCTCAGCTGCTGGGGAGTCTGTGTGAGCAACAGGCTTCTGATGACACTCGGGGTGCACTGGAAACACGCGATCGAAAGTCACAGTCGGGAGCCAAGGGTTCTCAGGTGGAGAACCCAAAACTGGTGCCGCTTATTGGCTCCGACCAGTAAATTAATGAGCCATCCACAAACACATTGTACACACATGCGCAGACATCCCGCTTAGCTGCTGAGCTGCAATGCCAGCGGGCAAGCGTTTGGATTCAAAAGAATCCGGAAAGAAAAGGCCATATCCATCATCATCCTGTCTCGGTCACTTGTATCTGGTAAATCCAGAAGAAACCAAAGACATGCACTGGAACTTGCAGCGTTTCTGCACGCGCCCTCCACTTGCACTTCTGAGGAGCACAACGCCATTCTTCTCGCTGTCTGTAACTCCTCACATGCTGAAGCATTCCTCTGCCTTGACGATGACTTTGCACTAATGTTTATCCCTGCTGTATGTTCCTTCTTTAAGTGCCTGACGATCTCAGTACATCCTGTGCCTCTTTACTCTGGAGGGTAGCACGGGAAACATTCCACTTTTTGTTTTTTTTTCTTCGATATTATTGAATTGTTTTTGTTATGCATTGATACAAATAAGGGATCACTGTCAGAGTAGTTATTTAGCACTTCTGCTGTTAATATTTGAGGTACAGTATCTACAGCAGACTCCTTTTTGTTTTTGACAATCGCTCGTGATCTCTGTCTTTTATTTAGCTACTGTGTCGCCTGTAGTTACACTGCAACTATTGAGCTATCCTGCAATGCACGTGTTGTTTGCTCAGCCTTTAGATATGCTTATGTGGAACTCTAAAGTCTTGATATATGTACTTATTGTGTATTTACTGTATGTCTGAACATGCTTGACTTGTGCCTTGTTGCCATTTTTTTTTCTCTCTCAGGTTTTGTTTTGCCTCTATGCAAAAAAAAAAATGGCTGGCCTTTCATCATGAAAGAATGAGTAAAATTTTTTGATATCCAGATTTATTCAATTTTTGATGTATTTACAGCCTTTGTTTGAACCTTCCTACGCCAGCCCACAAGTTTCAAATCACTCCACAAAAAAACCCATTGAAGACTAATGTCTGTGACAATAACATCCGTTAAAAGTCATAACTCTGCCCGTATTCCTCTTGGAACCCTATGCAAACTGTTTTCTACTCTATGAAGTAATTTGTAATCCTCTCTGTGTAATCTCGAGGCGTCTCAATGCTATGATTTTACAGATATGGATTTGGAAGAGTTTTGCAGAGGCAAGTGTGGCATTTTTCGTAGCTTTGTCTGGTTTGTTTGCTTTGATACAGTCCAGATGTGGTTCAAGATACTGCTCCACATATATCAAATAAATGTACTCTGCTCAGTTTTAGTGTGAAATGCATTCTTGTTGATTCACGCGCATGAGTTGATGAAAAGTGCAAGTACATTTTAAGCTCTCGCATCGAGAGTTTGGTTTTGGAACCAGAAGGTCACCGTTAAAGTCCTTTTGGAGACAAAAAAAAAAGTACCGATTATTGAAATTATAATGAAAATGGCGGAATACATACTACCGGTGCATTTGAACGTCATTGATAATTATAATCTCTTAGTTATTACTTTCGCAATACTGTACAATATTATGTTCGTTTTATCAAGACAGACGTCCTCAAAAGAAAAAAAAGATGACTTCCGGCTTCTAGCAACTTCAGCGGAAGTACCTTCTCACTCGAGGTACTGCTGGCGAAAATCGGGCTCAAACTGAGCAACTAGCAGCAAAACAATGGCTACTGAACTGTAAGTCACATAACAATAATCATTATTAGTATATGACAGTTATCTGCCTGTACGTTTTTGCACGCGCTACGCTGTTTAGCTCTTAAATTGCTCTCATTTCCTTCTGGTTTAGCCGTTTCCCTGACAGCCTCATTGACGAAGACCCACAGAAAGCTCTCGAGGTAAACATTGAGTAGCCCTAAACTAATTTTAAACAAATTTATCACAGCTTTGAAGAACAAGTAGTCGCGGTGGCACTGGGTGGTTATTAATGCAGGCTACTAACTTTATAAGTAAATGACGTGGTTGCGCCCAGGCTAACGTTAGCGCTGGCTTTGCTCGTCACGAGCTAGCCTAGTTAGCGAAGGGAGCCTTGCACCCTCGATGTGCTTTATTGTGCGGTGATTTTTTTTTTTTTTTGCATGTGATTTAGTTTATGATCCAATTTCATATGTAGAAGATCAGCTGTGAGGTAACTGAACATTTCGTGTGAATATGTAAGGCCGACAGTGAGGTTTGCTTCAAGTGGCACACACATCGCCATGGTAACTTTTGATGCAAACCTTGTTGTCCCGAGTGTGTGTCAGCCAAAGGAAAAGTATAGTTTAGGTACGTTTGTAAATGGTGTTTAAATAAGACTCTAAACACTCATCAGGAAGGGCGACCATTTTTAATTTCCTTTCAAATTTTGCGTCATTTTCGAATTTTTGTATAGATCATAATCTGTCAAAGTATTTTTTAATCTGATGAACATTTTACCCCCAAATTCCAATTTTCCTTACACAGCTTTGAAGAACAAGTAGTCGCGGTGGCACTGAGTGGTTATTAATGCAGGCTACTAAGTTTATAAGAAAATAACGTGGTTGCGCCCAGGCTAACGTTAGCGCTGGCTTTGCTCGTTACGAGCTAGCTTAGTTAGCGAAGGGAGCCTTGCACCCTCGATGTGGTTTATTGTGCGGTGATTTTTTGCTTGTGATTTAGTTTATGATCCAATTTCATATGGAGAAGATCAGTTGTGGGGTAACTGAACATTTCGTGTGAATATGTAAGGCCGACAGTGAGGTTTGCTTCAAGTGGCACACACATCGCCATGGTAACTTACGATGCAAACGTTGTTTTCCTTAGTGTGTGTCAGCCAAAGGAAAAGTATAGTTTAGGTAAGTTTGTAAATGGTGTTTAAATACGACTTTAAACACTCATCAGGAAGGGCGACCGTTTTTAATTTCCTTTCAAATTTTGCGTCATTTTCGAACTTTTTATATAGATACATATAGTCTGTCAAAGTAGCTTTTAATGTGATGAACATTTCCCCTCCAAATTCCAATTTTCCTTTTGCCAGTATTTCAACGTGCTCGTACCCCGGTGTTGCCAGTGCTGACAGAGCCCTTTACAGCTGCTCGCAACTGCCTTGATTTTTTTCCCCCCTCAATCCAAACAGTAAGAGTTAGAAGTTGTACGATTTTAACACTTGCTCAGAATTCAGGGATGTGGCAAACATTTAAGATTCAATATTAGCCTTTCATGGTTACACATTGCGTATTTCAACTCACTTTAATTCAAACTGCATTTTACAAAGAAGCTCAGTTCTGTATATGCAGCGCTAATATGAATGATTTCTCTTTGAAGGCACTGAACGAGGCCTTGCAAGGAGACGCCGACAACACCGAGTGGCTCTGTCAGCGTGCCTATGCTTACATACTTCTCAAAAACTACAGCTGTAAGTCTGCGTGTTTTCAGCCTCTTTTTCAGGATTTTGAATCATTGATCTTTAATTCTAGAAAAGTAAGAATATTGGCTTCCATGAACAATAAATGTTTAATCATTTAGGATGCGTTTTGGTGAGTTTTTCATGAGTGGACACTGCAGAACAGAGTAGTTGCTCCGATCATTTTCCCTTGAGTTGCATGTACGACCAGTATTTAAGAAAAAAAAAAAAAACAACCAGATTTATGACAACATAATTTGTGTCACTTCTTGACAGGTGCTGTTAATGATGCCAAGAAAGTGCAGCAGCTGAATCCAGGCCTTTCGCTTGCCTTCATGCGTACAGGGTGTGTACTATGGGTGAGGGGGTCTTACACTGGAAAAGAGAGTTTGAATTTGTTGATAAAATGATATTCATGATCAGTATACAGAGTGCCTTGAGCCAGTAAATGATTACAAAGTAAAGAGTGCATTTCTCATATAACATGACAAAGTTTGCAGCCACATTTGTGCTTTATTTAGCACGATTAATCCTCTTGCGTTGTTCATTTTAAATTTAGTTTAGGAGCATCCATCTGTAAGCCCTTTTATGATCTTGGACCATTTGGGTTGTTAGAAACAGGGAAACATGACCAGTTTTTTTATGTTAATGTTTCCATAATTACAGAATAGCAGAGTACCATCTGAGCCACTATGAGTCAGCCCATGCAGCCTTCACTCAAGGACAGCAACTGAATGGTGGGTGACGTTTTTGTACCCGGAGTTTGTCTGTCTGTTTGCACTGACTAAGTCGCAGTCTCTAATTTTTGTGGTTGTTAATTGGTTATGGTCATATACGATGTCAGTCACACGTCAAAGTTTGTCGACCTGCACAAGGCTGGAAAGAAGTCATAAAACCGGCAAAGGGCTTGGTGAGAAGGTGACAACTATTGGCGCCGTTTTTCAAAAATGTAAGAGCACTCAGAATTACATCAAGTCATTGAAGAAAAAAAAAAATCATTGTTCTGAAAACTCAAGTAATGCCCTTGATTCAGAGGTGCAAAGATGACTCAACAACGAATGGATTATCAAATGAAACATTTTTACACTGCTATTTTGGGGGAAAGAGGGATCTAGCGATAAACACATTACGCTATATACGTTATTACTAACTGTTTGAAATGTTATCACTGCTCATCTGTAAACTGTTATTTTATATCTTTTGTTTCTAAGGTTTATATTGGAAACATTGAGAGAGAGTCTTTTGTGTTTGTTTTTCTGGCAGTTTCTGACCAGTCATTTGAGATTTGGATCAAGCGATGTGAGGAAATGTTGGGTGGTGAGTATTATCCAGTGTGTTATTAAATTAGTGGTTTAAAGGTACATAATCTAGAGTACATACTCGTTGCGCCCCAGCTCAGGGATGATAGGATAGGCTCTGCAAGGGTGTGAAGTTTTTTTTTTGTTGTTGTTTTTTTAATACCCCCATGTACAATCCAAAAATCTACTGACCGAGAACTGTTTGGTTCAATTAAAGATGTATATCATGTTGTCAGGACCATCTCGGGAAAACGAGTTTTGACAAACATGCTTCACGCTTTTCTCCCAGCGGCGTGTGATTAATCAGCGTCGGAGAGCCCCAATTAGACCGTTCCCCTTCATAAGCCCACCAAAACAGCCGACGAGTACCCACCCTCATCCATGACCTGATTAAGACAACATAACATGCTTCATCTCGTCTCATTCCTCTTTACTGTCCGTGTTGTCTCTCTCTGTATGTTGCTGTCAGTGAATAATGTTGGACTGAATCAAGTGGGATCATGCTCGCTTGTGCTCACGCGGTGTTAATGAGCCATGGGTGGGCCAGTCGACACACTGCTGGCAAATTTGATTGTGTGTTGCATTTCTTATCTGTCAGCGTTTCCCTGCTAGTAGAAAAAAAAAACACTGTGGAAAAATCAGTCTTGAATTATTTACAGGTTCATTCAATTAAAGATGTATATCATGTTGTCAGGACCATCTCGGGAAAACGAGTTTTGACAAACATGCTTCACGCTTTTCTCCCAGCGGCGTGTGATTAATCAGCGTCGGAGAGCCCCAATTAGACCGTTCCCCTTCATAAGCCCACCAAAACAGCCGACGAGTACCCACCCTCATCCATGACCTGATTAAGACAACATAACATGCTTCTTCTCGTCTCATTCCTCTTTACTGTCCGTGTTCTCTCTCTCTGTATGTTGATGTCAGTGAATAATGTTGGATTGAATCGAGTGGGATCATGCTCGCTTGTGCTCACGCGGTGTTAATGAGCCAAGGGTGGGCCAGTCAACAAACTGCTGGCAAATTTGATTGTGTGTTGCATTTATTATCTGTCAGCGTTTCCCTGCTAGTAGAAAAAAAAACACTGTGGAAAAATCAGTCTTGAATTATTTACAGGTTCATTTAAACCTTTGCACAAGCCTCACAACCATTTGTTTTTGTCCTGCAGAAAAGCACAACGGCAGTGTTGACACGGTGAGTTTTTCTCGGCATGACCACCTGGGGGAGTCGTTGTCCTTCCTCCGCATCCGTAACAGTCCGATGCTCTCTGGACAGCGGCCCTGGTTTTGCTCTTTGATTTGTGTTTTGTTTCTTGTTTGTCCGTAATTGTTTTCTCTTTTTCTATTTGCGTCTCTGGGGACTACATGATGCAGCAAATACCAGCAGTGCCACATGTGAAGTAAGCAAGACAAATATTTATGGATTTCTTTGTATTTTAGTGGAATGTGTTGATACATTCACAGCTGATTTAATGTTAATGTACACAGTTTTTAACTACGGTTGGTTACCTACTAAAGCCTTTAACCCATTAGAAAGTATTTCAGATCATTCCTTCATGTCTCTTGCAGACATGACTGGTACCAAACAGAATCTCACGTCATCATCTCGGTTATGGCAAGAAATGTACCAAAGGATGGTGTGTGTGTCAGCTTCATGGAAAAAGAGGTATGCATGCCCTCTTGAGTTTCATCACTTTGGGATTTGCGTGCGTGCATGTGGCGCATCCTTTTTAATTGGCGCATCTGATACCTTCCAGATTGATTGTATTTGCTTGTAGCGTTCAGACCGACCTGGCAGAAAGCGGGACTTTGCCGCGCCGTGACTCCCAACAGTGCGACACATTCTCCCACGTTCCCCACACACATTGCCATTCCCCACTTTGATTCCCCACAGCCCGACGATGCTTCGAGTGGTGTCTTGTTAACGCTGGCCCCAAAGTACAGATCTAAGAACAAGTTACCCTCCCCACATTCGGCAACCTCCTAATTGTCTGAAGATGGGGAGGCGCAGCTGATCTCGGAACAGCCCCGCCGGGCACCCGCCGCAAGGGACAACCGTCTTTCTCTCCCCTTGATATTTCTCCTCTTCCCGTCTCTCAGCGGGCTGACTGCAGGGCACCCCAGGGAGCAACTTTGTCTATCTTTATATAATATAAGAATAACAAATGGAGTTTACCCCCAAGAAATCCTCGTTCTAAATCACATAGTCGCACATCCGTATTCCGCACCAAAGCTCCCTCCGTGGTGTGAAGGCCGATTTCCGCGCAGTTTTATTAGGTCACTCTATACAAAGGAAATTAAAGATGAAAGGCAGGGGTTCCATTTCTTTTCCCTGGCGGATGAGCGCGCTGCAGCCGTATACCTACAGACGGCTCAGGAATTCTTGACGCAATGAATATTCAGGCTCTGATTGTTTTAACAATTGCCAAAAGCGACGAGCTGACTGTGGAGGCTTTTGTCCCCAATGAATTATTCCTTGGATTCTCTTAGGCCCCATTGAATCAGGGCCCGCTGTGTTTTTTAGCTTTGTGTTCTGAGCCAAACCACAGCCGGAATAAGCCACTTGTGTCGGGTTTCTAGTAACTTTTGGCTGGTGATAAGTGTGGGGATTTCGGCCAGCGCCGCGGTTGTGTCGCCGTAAGCTAACAAGCCACCTATCCACTCCCAATGACTGACAGGCTGTTAGGAGCTGTCTGACCATCCATCGTCTCGAATCACTCTGAGGCTGAAGGGGACAGCGGCAGAATTCTCGCGGTCGCACTAACCAAATCCGATGTTTCTTCTTGAGAAGATATAAACGTCTCCGACGTTTTTAAGCCCTTTGAAGAATTTAGCAACATCCATAAAACATTTCTCGTTTGATCTTTATGCCTGATTATTCTGAAATGATCGATTCTGTGACAGCTTGTATCGATTTATGGGTGTTGCAACCGGCCGCTTACCGTCAAGACTTTTGAGATCTCACGATATCACTCGAATCTATGTAAGACCGTAAACATTTGACATTCATGTGCTGCCTGCAGCTCTCAGCCTCAATAAGGCTGGCGTCCGGGGAAAACCGCAACCTCAACCTCCACCTTCTGCATCCCATCGTCCCCCAACAGAGCAACTTCCGGATCCTCAGCACTAAGGTATGCCATTTGTTTAGCCCGTGCCCTCGGAGCGGCTTTTGAAACAAGGCTGTGAACATTTATGAAGCGAAGATTATGATCATCCTTTTTAAATGGACATCTGTGCTTGTTGCTCAATGAGTCATACGCTTTAAAAATGCTTTAATGAGACAGATGACAAGTTTATGAAGCAGAAACAGACTTCAAAACTGCCATTTAATGTGAAATAATTTCACACAGGTTGTAACTTGGAAGAGGTGAGGTCCCCAACCTTTTTCACGCCGTAGAGCAGCTGCAGTTTTAACTCAGTGTTTTAGTAAACAGTTTGATGTGTACAGAAGCAATAAACTATTAGGCAGGCACAGCCATTTTCAGCTTCATAATTATTGGGCCGATATTAGGAAATATGATGTCATCTTGATAAATATAAACCTTAAAATAGAAAAAGCACCAATAAAGTAACTGAATCAAGAATGTTGATGAAAATCCATTGAAGCCGTACTTCATGGCTCACCTGCTTTTGATTTTGGTCACGTGAAATTTACAAGCTGGGCCCTTTGACACTGGGATGTCGTTTTGGGCCCACGACCCCCCGAGATAAAAACGAGTGGATTTCAAAACTGTAACTGTACCGTACAAAAAAGGAATCCCAATTATTCATTATTCATTGATTTTCTTGTCAACCCTCATTCGGGTTCCTCTGGATTAGCCTGCAAAAATTTGCTCCTCAAAATTAGAAAGTTGCTCATCCAATTAAGCGATTGATTAGCAAAACTGTTCCTCAATGTTTAAAAAAAAAAGTTATTTGGAATAGGTCCACTCACGCTCACATTTACATTTTGAAGAACAATTTAAAGTCTTCACCTAACGCGTGTTTTCTTGAAGTCTGCGATTGGCTGGTGACTGGTCAAAAGTGAATCCCGTCTTTTGCCTGAAGTCAGATGGGATAGTCTCCGGCACCCCCGGGAGGGGGGGACCTGCTATCATTGGAAAGTTTGTTTGAAAGCATCCAAATTATTGCCTGACAGTTGCTGACTTGAAAATGATGCTGAGTGCTATTTGAATGGCTTGTATAAAAATCTGAGGAAAAGCAGCATTTGCATAATCATTTTGAACACAATGTCGTTGAACGTCCAGGCACCGCTTCAATTTAGCAATAGGAATGTCTCGTGCGAAATGCATTCTTCAACCCCGGGCGATCTCATTTTCCCACTTCCTTACTTGTGATGCATTGCAGTATTTTTGGCCGTCATCAAAGTTGCACCACTTTCCACAAGAGTCATAATTGGTGAATTCATTTTTAGTCAATAGGGAGGACATAAGCGACCCTAACGTATTAAATCTCATCAGGGGACAAGTAAAACAACCCCCAAGGATGGAAACGCATTTCACCAGAGATTTTAATTCTTTTTCTCTCTCTCTCGCTCTCTGCGTGACTAGCAGAACTTTGAGAGCATCAAACATGGATATTTTAGCTTAGGTTTTCAATGTTTTAGAACATCCAATTATTTGTGGTCAGTTGACTGAAACGAAGACTCACCATGACTTGGTCATCTCTTTAAAATTAGACATTAAAAAAAACTAATAATAATAATAATGATGAAGAGTAGAAGCTGCCACTGCCCGTAGTTTAATGCTGGTGAAGCGCTCCGAAGAAGAAGGAATTTGGAAATCCTCTCGAGCAGCGTGCAGTGAGGTCGAGGATTCACTCCATATCCTCAAAACCTCTGTCCTGCTCATGCAGTTTCATTCGGGCTGCCCTCATTTGAGCTCCTCAGCACTTTTCAAGTGATTACAGGCCTAATGAGCGCGAAGGGCACTGTTTTAAAACTCTAAACTAATTAGTGGGTATTAGAGTTTGATGTGCGCTAATGACGGTGTCTAGATTCAGAGTTTTGCCGGCTGTCAGGTGTTATCCTGAGTGTAAGTCCTAAAGGTTCTTTTTGTGGCATTTTTGGTGTATTTTCAGGGTTTGCGCTGCGTTATGAAACCTCTTAGCCAATGTGGCTAAAAAGGATGAAAAAAATCTCCTAGCCACACGCGAGTGTAGTTAGCCACGGGATCACCTGTTTATGTTATGCCGCTATCTTGCGATCTGGGCCGTCCCAGAGACATTATAGCGCAACGAAAAAATAAACACATAACACTTCAGGGAAGACATTTTTTTTTCTCCAAATGTTAAAATGATGAGGTCTGAAGATAGATATTTCTCACAAACGTCAGACTTGTTTGACTCTCCTCCACATTTCAGTAATAGCTGCACACCGAACTTTCTTTTCCTTTGTGCACACATCATCTCCACTCGCTACCACGTGCTGAGTCCAGGCTAATTTGCACCAAAAAAAAAGTTCCCCGGCTTCTCCTTGGCAACAATAGCTGCACACCGAACTTTCTTTTCCTTTGTGCACATCATCTCCACTCGCTGCCACGTGCTGAGTCCAGGCTAATTTGCACAAAAAAAAAAAAAAAGTTCCCCGGCTTCTCCGTGGCAACAGCGGACACTGCATACCAGAGGTGCACGTCTCCCGCAACCTAATAAGGGCCCCCAGTCTGAGAGACACCACGGCTTAGGTTGAGTTGAGGCAGCCTCTTGCACATCAGCACTTGTGCTCCCTTCTTTCACTCCTCATGTCCCATCTTTGACTTTTTTTTGTTCTGTTAGCCGCCCAAGGCCCCCTTCATGGCACGCACACACCACCTGTTGTAACCGCTGTTGCACAGTTATACAAACACTCATGACACCTACCTTGAGGATAACGTGGCAGAGTGCTCAAACTCTGCCGCTTCCCCTACAAAGCCCTGACTGTGTACGAGGTCCACTCGGCTCCTCTGGTATACGTGGCCCGTAGGTACCCGATGTGCACATGCAACGCAGCACACGCACACTCATTGGTTAGTGAATTCTAGAATGACTGAAGCTGATTTCTGTATGTTTGCATGACAACCTGAGCGATTCCGAGCCCGTGTGGCACATTTAAAGCCTCATTTCAGTCTTCTGGAGCTTTTTTTTTTTTTTTTTTTTTTTTTAATTGAGAAGCAAGCTACTGCCATCTTTTGGGTTGTTAATTAGAGAATTCAAATGGACCTTTTTGACCGTGAAGCGCGTCCGGCTCCAGAGGGAGTCCAAGCCGGGAAAATGTATGCCCCTGCATACATACGCATACGCGCACTCAAATTTGAAGACAGAGGCCAAACAATAATCCGTCAACATCTTCCCCGTTACAAGTGTGTGTCGTTGGTAGCGCGTTATTGTCAGTATGACCTCTTCCTGTCCAGCGCCACAACAGACATTCCAACCGCAGGGGTTGCCGCCCCAACGGGAAGCCAATTACACACCCGTTTATTTGATCAGAACAGACGGCTGACATGCGCACACGCACACCAACACAAACACGCGAATGTGCATGTAAACATTTCACGCAACTTTGAGTCGACATTTAGTTTCCCGTTCCTTTCCAAACCCATCTCTGTAAATAGGCAATATCCGATGGAATCTTCCCTCTTTAATTTTCATGCCTGCTAGTATCTAAAACATTAAGATTCATTTTTTGTAACGTGTCGTTCTTACGGAGGCTTTTCGTAATCCGCAGGGTTCTGGAAAAAAAGAAAGGGAGAGAGATTCTTAGGAGGGGGCATTTGACAAGTGACACGAGACCCCAGCACCACGCTGTAAATAGTGTGTGTGTGTGTGTGTGTGTGTGTGTGTGTGTGTGTGTGTGTGTGTGGCCCCCGAGGTCCTGAGGGTGGTGGCCCTCCATGTGGGTCTGCTGTCACATCCCTTTACGGGCCGTCGCTTCGCCTGTCACACACACGGAAACGCGCACAGCGCCTGGCCTGCCATGTCGTTAAAAGCCAGGAAACGCAGATGTGGCAGCAGATTAATGTTGTATGGCCCAGGAGCACGCACACGGACACACATGCGCACGCACACACAGAAAGTCCCCCGCATTTAGCACTCCAGGCACATTTAAGACCCCCGTCTCACCTGCAACGCTGGCTGGCCTTTTCCCGTTTATGACTCGTTATTCATTTTAGTGGTTTGTCATACTCGGGTGGGTTTTGTTCTGAAATGAGCAACAGACTTTTTTATTTGTTTGAACAAAATACTTGCTGCCGTCTAGGGAACCCACTTTTACACACAACTTGACAAAGGGTAAGACATTTTTTAGAGCACTCCGGCTTTTGCATTTGAGGTTGTTTGAAGGCTCCTATTTCGGGCCGGGCAACTACGGCAAATACTCACCACACTTATATTGAGTGGTACCAAAATCACCCTGAATAAATGTGTTGATTTCAAAACCTAGGATTTATCCAACTACCACAAGTCAACCTCATGCCCATTCATCTTACCCTTTACTTCATAGGTGTCAAACTCAAGGCTCTAGGGCCAGAACCGGCCCGCCTCATCATTTTATATGGCCCACTGGCCATGTTTTTCAAACAAACCATGTCTTATATTGAAATATACGGTGTGTGTAATCATTTTTGTTGAGTGTTAAACCGTTTAAGTCACTGGAATGTCAGGGGTCCCCCCCACCCCCTTACTGATACATCAAACGGTGGCCCTTAGACCGAAGCCACACACCAAGATAATTAGTCGGGTAGCAGAAGTCTTTTTTTTTTTTCCCCCTGTCTGCACTCGGTGCCACTCTGCCTCCTCTTCAGTGCTCGTCCACCTCCGATTCCCTCTCCAATCCTGGCACCCTCATAAATGAAGCAACGCATTGCCCAGCAGAGCAGAAATGTTCCCTAATTGCACTGACATAACCAACGCTGCCTTGCACATTCACACACATGCACATACAGTATCAGACACATGCACGTCATTAATGGGTGATGGTGGCGGGGGGGTTACAATGGACTGTAGCTTGCGTGTTTCACTGGTATGTGCCTTGTCAGGGCAGCTCAACATGAAATGCATGTCCATGCCAGCGCTCGCTGCATTGTTTTCTTCCTCTCATGTTTTCTTGGTCTAATGATTTGGATCAGATGCTTTATAATGCCACCATACACACGCACGCACACAGGCGCACGCATACACACACATAGGTCTTGCTCATTCCATCTCTCACACTAGCCCCCTGGCTGACAGGCGTCTCGTTAGTGCAGTATGTCTGTCAGTGTGGTGCGAGATGGAGCTGTGCCCCCGCATATCCCCGACGTGTCGTTCTCGCACTCTCTCTCTCTCATTCTCCATCTCTGTCGGTCTCTCAAACGCGCACACAAAAGCGCCCTCTCACCAAGCCCGAGTCGATGCTGGCTGAGAACAGGCACTCTCTTTGGCCTCAATCATGATCAAATGTCATGTATCTTCAACACGTCACTCTCGTGGAAGTGTTATTTTTGTCCCCGCGCACCAAAGAAAAACATTTTGTTACACATTGTTATCTCCATTGTTCCTCCCCGCCGCCCCCTGGCCTCCCCTCCCCGCACATGTCAGGTGGAGATGAAGATGAAGAAGAGAGACGCCATCAGATGGGAGAAGCTGGAGGGAGAGGGACAGGAATCCAACATCAAACACTTCAATCCAAGTCAGTCCATCGTTGTTTGCATTTTGTGCCACCTCCGCTGACTTTCCTCCTCCGCTTCTCCTACCGAAGCCTCCTCCTCATTTGCTCTCTCTTGCCCTGCCTCCCTCCAAAAATCTTTTTTTCTGGACTAACATAAAAAGTGGGCTGTCCAGCCCTCCTACGTTTTTTTTTTTTTCCATTCGCGTGATGGTAATATTGCGGACAAAAAGGGAGTTCTGACAGCTTAATATGACTTGGTATTTTATCCCACGTTCTATTGCCAAAAGGATTAATCGCTTTTGCAAGCACATACGCCGATGCAAAAGTTGAAGTGTGCAATCAGACTATCCGCTGCGTTCGAGCAGCTCAACCCCGTGCGGTGTTTACTGCTGCCACTTTTGAACACAAGCGTTGACATGCCATATTATGAGATGACACTGCGCTGGGTCCGCGCTTGCCCCCAATATGTCTGCTGCTTATTTGGTGCCTTATTTATGCAAATCTGCGTCTGGATTACTTGCATCACCCTCCGCGTTCGTCTGTTATTGAAGCCTTGCAAGAAATGCAGAATTCCAATGATTTGACCCCTCTCCATTGAAACGTAAAATGAAAATAAAAAAGGGTTCTGACCAGATATGGCTTAACAAATAAACAGTCATGTAAAAGCTCAAAACTTTTTTTAAGTATCATTAAACTCAACCTGCCATCATTTCCAGACTACAAAACACATTTGTACATAGATTGGCCACTTTGTTTTCATCGCTCCCATGTTATAACATGAGATATTTGCGCAGCAGTCACACAGATGGATTTCTTTTTTGCTGAAACTTAAACACCTGTAGAACCTTCCCCCCCCGGCCCCCATTTTCTTAGTCTCCCTCATTGTCACACGTTGCAAATTTGCCAACAATCTTCACGCAGCAGTGCTGTCGAGATGCAGGGAATGCCACTCCATGGCCACAGTGTCGGAGTCGCACACCAAAGCGACAACAGAGAGACTCGGGTTGCGCTGCGTTGATGGCTGTATTTATGGCACTCGTTCCCTATGCTCGTTAAACTCAACTCAAGATGTGTCGAGACTTTGGGTAAATCTAATGGTAGCTTGAAACTCGTCAGTAACTGCTTCACGTAAAAAGCCGCAGGGTCCAGAGTTGAGGTTAAGGAAAGTAGCGGCTGATGGTGTGCTAATCATTTATGTCAAGCGTTGTTGTTAACAGATCAATGCCCGACATCGAGCCAGCGCAGCCAAAAATGGGACAAGATGGTGGTGGATATTAAGGAGGAGGAGAAGAACGAGAAGTTGGAAGGCGACGCGGCCCTCAACCAGCTCTTCCAGCAAATCTACGCCGATGGTTCGGACGAAATCAGGCGCGCGATGAACAAGTCTTTTGTGAGTGTGACGACGTGGCTCTGCGTGCCTTTGAGTGCTTTTGCGTTTTTTTGATCCACTCATAGGGAACCTAGTTGTCGAGCGACAAAACGCAACCCTCCTTACCCGTGCCGCCTCTTTCCTCGTCGACACAAACATGAACATGATTTTCATTCCCTGCCAGCAGAGGATTACATCACACCGAGACGCCTTGTCCCGTCTGTGCTCATCAAAATTTACTCGGGATTTGGTGTGAACTAATGCACCGTGACAAAAATACGAAATGGAAAAAATAAATATGTCTTGCGAAATACAGCGGCGTCTGCAAAGAAAACCCGAAAGGTCACATATTTTCTGGGATGATGCCATAGAAGTGTACCGGTGATATGAAAACTGGGCGCAAAGTTTGACCCCGTTGAGGATTCTTCTCTCGAGTAATAATTGTCTTCAAGTTGGAGCACAATACACTAGATTTTCTGCACTCCCCCCACCGCCTCCCCCTGACAAAATTCTCACGAGATGGTGATGAACGGAGGCATAGGAATGCAGTTCACACAGCGAGGACGGGGATGTGGTGCAGGTTGTTTGAAGCAGACAATATTTTCTCTTGTGTGAGTTGTTTGGAAGAAAAACTTTTGGCCTTCCCCCATACGAGTCAATTCATCAGCATGAAGTGCTGACTGTCAGCCGACTGAGTCTTCCGAGTCGGGTTAAGCCCTCAAGTGTTTTTTTTTTTTTAATGAATAAAACCAGTACAGTACTGCTGTCGTCAACTAATTTAAGATGTGTTTTGAAGCAGAGAGGTGTTGCATAACGAGACTGCTAATGAAATAGCTCCCCCATTCCACTGCAGTGATTTTTTTTTTCCTTCTCTCTCTTTTTCTTCCTTTACCTTTGCAGACGGAGTCAAACGGTACAGTCCTGAGCACCAACTGGAAAGACGTTGGCAAGAGAAAAGTGGAAGTCAGCCCACCCGATGATGTTGAGTTAAGGAAAAACTGAATACCTCCCTCGCTCGTTCTCTTCCCCTTCTTTTTTTTTTTTTTTTTTTTCCCCCCTCCGTTTGACCCGC